GGCTACGGTTGCCAATGGGTCACATGGCAGATGTCACATATAAAGCAAGCCGGACCTATCCCAACTAATATGTATGTTGGGATTATTGACTAAGTAAACGTCTGTTACTTATTTTGGACATAAGTAGTTTTCGAGATAATAATTCATCCTTGGTCGATTAAAGTGATTTAAGAAGTAATAGTTGAGTTTGTCGAAATTAGATATATAGGCCTTACGATACCAATTAATTGTACTTGGCCCTGCCTCTGAAAAGACTATCCCATTCAGGGTGGATTGCTGCTTCGACCTCGCCTAGGTCTAATCAGCCTCCCCAGCAGGATTCGACACCGAGTCGCGAGTATCGTGGTGACGTTATGACGCCACTCCACTCCACGGCTATGGATGCCAATGGGCCACATGGCTGATGCGACATATAAGACGAACCAGACCACTTCCAAATAAAATATATAGTGAGATTATAGATTGAGCAAACAAGTATTTGCCATAGCAGTCAACGACATTACTTATTTTAGATATAAGTAGCTTTCGAGCTTTTCATTAATTCTTCAATAAGTACCAATGGTTGATTTGTCTCACAATCACATGAATAGGTTTTGACGATGCCAGTGAATTGTACATCGTGTCAAAAGCAGGAAGCATCCTTTAAGAAGATTAAATAAGCATTGAATCAAGAAATGTGACTATACCTACCAAATAGCAGACGCAAGCGCCATGTGGAGAGATCGAGGTGACAAAGCTATGTTTCGATGACTCCTTCGTAGTCCTCAAAACTGCAACTGGTTTCCAGTTAAGCCAATTTGCGATTCCATTCTCTCTAACCTCGGAAATCACATCAAAGCTCTTATGACTTGAGATCACAAAGTTATTCGTCGAAATCTATTTTCTCTTTATATATGCGAAGTACATAATTTTGCCTATCTGTTTCTTCTTATCGGATTGCCATATTTTTAACATTCCGTCTCAGAGCACTCGCAACCCCTTCGGGTCCTAGTTGACACGCTCTGATGCAAATATAGAAAATAGCCATTTTCATGCGAAAGACTTTCTACTGACTTGCCAACAAGCGTGGTCAAAAAAGGAGAGGACCCTAAGAAGTGCTTGCAGAGTCATTGATCTTAATTTTATATGCCTTATTTAAGGGGACAATTTAAGTATTTATTGTCTCTTGATCAACGTTGCATATACGTTTACTATCTCAAACTCGTATGCCCTTTTGTCTATACTTTCGTTTATCCGATTAAATGTTGAAGCTTAAAAAAGTTATAATCAATTTGAGTTGGTTCCTTCGCTATTAGCGGCTCTTGAACAAGGTTTGTATTTGCCCTAGGTAGCACAGATTGATGAATGATAGTTACATTTTCCCCAAAATGATACCAATACGTTTCACCTTTAGAAAATATGAACATTTTGTTTCATCCATCCCAAAACATAAGCTTTACTTCAGAGGAGCTTAGTTGTTGCTTTACACACGAGCGAGTCTTCAAGATTAATTTAGATGGAATCAATCATTAAATGCCTGTCGTAGCGCTTTAGATCTAATTCGACTGCCATACCAGTTATAGCCTTCTTCCACTGCCAATCTGTACTGCACGTTTTCAGCCTTGGAAAAAGTTTGCTATAACTTGAAATCTGAGGTTGTCTCAATCACTTTTAAAGAGGTCTGAGCTACCACCAAGTCAAGAAGTCCTGTCAAGTGTTTGCATGAATCAGATTGTTTGAAGTTTTATCACTTTATTATCTCTATCAGATTACTTTTAATGCGTTTTTAGCATAAATTTGACTACTGAATAATTTCTTACTTACCTATTAGTCTTGATGGCAGCAGAAGCATGATGCTACAGATCATTTTAGAGTTGAGGTAAACAATATTTTGCCCATTGTTTCGAGTAATTTATCTGCGATGAAAGGAAAACTTGTCTGTTTCAACGAATTTTGCTCTACTTTTCATTTCACACTGAGTGGAATACATTTTAGGTCTTTTATTGGCCTCCTTAACACCACTAATGAGATTCGAATTCGAAGTTTACGTTTTAATACGTAAACATTTTGTTATCCATGGAGTGACATTAACTCATCTCCTTTTAACTACAATCTCGGTAGAAGCCTGTCCTGTCTAACATTTCTCATCTGCTCTGTATGTCACCTACGCTAAGTCCGAGTGGTCTAGTTAGCAGCATATTAAAAACTTGATTAAAAACGCAATCCTTTCTGGATAAGAATACATTTTTGTCCCAAGACAGGCATAAGTCTCCTCCCAAATAAATCGTGAGCAACTCCGTTTTTGTTCCTTAAAGGACAAAGTACAATGTATGCAGCTTAGCTTTAAAAGATCACACTTCTCTCTCGTGTAAAACAAAAATATTTTTTATAATATGTCCTTTGGTATTTATTTTATTCCTACTACTCACTATAATCGTGATCCCCATCTTCATCTCCGCCATTTCGGATCTATCTGCTGCTATACACCTTGTCAGGAGATGCTTTTACGTCTAGCCTATTGCCTTGGCAACCTAGCTGCCCGCTGCTCTACTGCACGCACTGCTTTCCTACCGGATTCGAGGAGATTGGCTGAAGTGAGGCATGTTTACCGTGAGCACTGGGAGCGGTTGCTGGGCCACTATTCTGGCTCGACAGAACCTGGGGACAGGCAGAATCAGACGGCCGCTGCTAAGAGCTATGGTAGGCCTAGTTCCATTGATAAACATGTTGACTGCACCATATTCTGTCACTTGTTGTAGTCTGCTTCTGCTTCTCACCAAGTCAGATTAAACTAAAACGAAGCTTTCTGAATGATTAAGCGCACCTTATCACTTTTTCAAATGTCGTTAATATTTTTCTAATAGCTTTATTCACCCATGTAAAATTTAATGGAAAACGTATGCTTTACTCATAACATTTTTGGAAAATTCAGCTACCAGTGTTTTATCACCTTAGACGAAACCTACTTTTTAAGCGAAAAATTAGTATTTTCATCTTTATATAAATATCACCTTTCTCATAAACTCACTTTTTGGACTGAAATTAGACGAGGATTATTCACATGTTAATAGGAAATATTTTTAGTTGAGCAAATACTTACCAAAAGCACCTACACAAAATAAACATTTCTCTTTGTAACTATCTAAATTGTGTATATCCATGTATTTCTACCTCGTATTCGCAGAGTTATCATGCCTTTCAAAAATGGAAACTTAAAATAAAAACTTGAACATTAATATATACTGTCCAGAGGTCGATTACTTTTCCCCTAATATTAAATATGGTATAATACTATTTAGTTTGGGTGTAAATTTGTGCATCCATACACATATCGACTCTGAAACCAATGTACATTTAAGATTTGAAGCCTGCTTCATAAATAAATGTTACAAAATCGCAGATGAATTATTATACTTCAGGATTGCCTATATTTTATCTAAATATACAATTATATTTTTTTAACTACATCACCTAGCATAATTATAAATATATCAAAGTAAATACGCAAATTTTATTAGCCATTTAAAGTTGGCTTTATTTTGGGGGGAAATGACATTGGCCATATATAAATACATTATATATTATATGATTTAATTATATATATACAGTAGTATCCAAAGGTCAGATGCCACCACACATAATTGCGCTTATTTCATCATTTATAAAAAAACAATTCACGTTTTTATTTAGCCGACAATTTTCAAACAAG